ATTCATGAACCCGGAATCATACTGGCAATCCGAATCTTCAGGCCCTTAAGGAAGGAGCAGTTTATGAATCAGAGGCCTGCATTCATTGGAATCATACTGGCGATCCGAATCTTCAGGCCCTTAAGGAAAGAGCAGTTTATGAATCAGAGGCCTGCAAACATTGAAGTTAGGGGTTGAGGGTTGAGGGTTTAGGGTTTAGGGTTTAGGGTTCAGGGTTCAGGGTTCAGGGCTTAGGGTGTAGATTCATGAACCCGGAATCATACTGGCGATCCGAATCTTCAGGCCCTTAATTTATGAATCAGAGGCCTGCAATCATTGAAGTTAGGGGTTGATGGTTGAGGGTTTAGGGTTTAGGGTTTAGGGTTTAGGGTTCAGGGTTCAGGGTTCAGGGTTCAGGGCTTAGGGTTTAGATTCATGAACCCGGAATCATACTGGCGATCCGAATCTTCAGGCCCTTAAGGAAAGAGCAGTTTATGAATCAGAGGCCTGCAATCATTGAAGTTAGGGGTTGAGGGTTTAGGGTTTAGGGTTTAGGGCCTTAGGGTTAAGGGTTCAGGGTTCAGGGCTCAGCTTAGGATTTAGATTCATGAACCCGGAATCATACTGGCGATCCGAATCTTCCGGCCCTTAAGGAAAGAGCAGTTTATGAACCAGAGGCCTGCATTCATTGAAGTTAGGGGCCTCTGACCTTGACCGCGAAACTACAGAAGCTGGCCCCCAAGGCCATCCGAAACCTCTTTCCTATGAGGGTTTGCTTGGGCTTAGGATTCAAAGGCGTGAGGATTGAAACCCCAACCCTGAACTCTACACGGCCTCAAAGCCCTCAACCCTAAATAAACCCCTCAACCCTAAACCCTCAAACCCCTAAACTCCTAAACTTCTAGACCCTGAACCTCAACCCTCTCGAATTGTCCAATATTCTGGCGAACTAAAGGCGAACTGAAGGCTCGCCTTTTGGATTATATAGGGATCATAGTAGCACGGTTTCGGTTTACCCTAAACCCTAAACCCTAAACCCTAAACCCTAAACCCTAAACCGGCTAAAGGTTACCTACCCGACTTCTGAGTCTTTAAGGGCGTTCAGGACTTCGGTCTCACAGCTCCTCCTCACCATCAGCATCTGCAGGCCTGAAGACGCGATGGTTTAGGGTTTAGGATTTAGGATTTAGGGTTTAGGGTTTAGGGTTTAGAGTTTAGGGTTTAGGGTTTAGGGTTTAGGGTTTAGGGCATGTTGGAATATTGTTGGGTTTGTGGCTTTGGGTTTAGGGGTTATCGTCCCGGCCTCTTTTAAGGTGCACCGGACTTTCCTCGCATCTGCCCGGCACTTAATTATATGGGACGGCTCAGGGTTTGGAGTATAGGGTTGTTGGGTTTTAATTGAGGTGCAGCAGCCCCTAAACCCTAAAACCCTAAACCCTAAACCCTAAAAAACCCTAAACCCTCACAACCCTGAACCCTAAACCCTAAGCCCTGAAACCCTAAGCCCTGAACCCCAAGCGATGCTTTCCTCATATGCGGCTTGCAACAGAAAGAGCTGGCCGGCGCGGAGCATGGAGGGCAATTTAGGCTGTCGGGTTTGAGGCTTAGGGCTTCGCCTTTTGGGCAGCCGTTTTGGATCTTCGGCTTTACAGTAGGGTTTATCAGGTTTTAGGACTTATTGTAGGTTGTTTGCATACTAATTCCGATGACTCTGACCCTCTGAATTGTAACTTACTATTATCAGGACCTGACAAATCGTTCCTCTGAGTCCTTTGATATGCTTTATAGCAGAGGCTTGGGGAGTAGGGTTAATACGAGGTCATGAAACCCTAAACCCTAAGCCCTAAACCCTTTTTCTTGTGGGAGTTTCTGGGGATTAATCGCGCATGAACAGCTTGATTCGGGTTTGGGTGACGATGACGGTAATCGTTTCGTAGGGACCTTTTGACGGTGAACAATACTCTTCAGACCGCCAAATAATGATTATCCACCATAAGGTTCCATACTCAATATCTCTGTTATGTTAACTTGAGCCGTTTAAGTTCAGAAAAATGCTCTCAACGCCGACAAAACGCATGAGCAATCCTTACTATAAAACAACACTGCAGACCTAAGAACCCGGAACCCTCAGAACCCTCCAATCCACTGCAGGCTTTTGCTGGCCTCACTCCGCAGAAGCGCACGAACCAGCTGCGAAAAAGCGCCCGATGCTCCGACTCCCTTGGCTAAAGACTGGCACTACGACCGCCAAGGGTCTGTAAAGGACTAATTAGTACTACCCAGTACTCCATATTCTTGAGACCTCGAAGTTGTCGAAGAGAGGGGCCACTATTGAAAGGGCCTAAATGCTGAAAATGAGACTTTTGGAGTATGCTTTGGTGTCATTCCACAGAGGCTTTGATTCGATACGATTGCCAGGTATTCGAACTTCTATGTAGGCTCGAATTGGCCAACCTTATACCTTTTTAAACTGTAAAGAGTTCAGGGTTTGAGAGGGGGCCGTAAGTCTTTGTGCCAGAGTCCAGACTCTGTAATTTGATACATGGAAACAGTAAGAGGACTTCATGCCTAAACATCTACGCAAGTATTCAAAATACCGAGTGTCAACGCACTTTAGATGCTTAAGTTCTAGGGACACCATATTTGTATGACCGCTATTAATGGCCGCATGGAATGCTCTCAGCCTAGTTTTGATTCTATCAATTACACCAAAAGTCCATGCTCATCTCCTTCTCCTTCGCCAAAGCGTCTCTCATCTGTTTCTCGATTGGAGACCGCTTTTTCTCCGATTATTCCATCGCCCGCCGCGCGAACGACACCATCCCCTTACGCCCTGGGTTGTCGCACACCAGCCAAGTAGGCCGATATCGTGCCGCTGCTCTCCGAGAGGCTTACCCTAAACCCTAAACCCTAAACCCCAAAACCCTAAACCCCAAACCCTAAAACCCTGTAATCATAACGGGCAGTGATCCCCCTGTCCTTGAGAATCTGCGGACTCCGACTCCCGAGCGAACCTAATGCAGGGGCCTTAATAATTAGAATGGGGTGTTGGGGGTTTCTTATTATAATTGTGGTATACTATACCCCAAACCCTAATTCTTAAGGCCCCTATATTAGGTCTGAAGTTCTGTGCCGGTCGAAGTTCTCACTTATCTTCTCGAACGGGGCGACACCTATGCCGCTTGTTCCAACCAGATTGGGTTCAGGGTTCAGGCTTTGGGTAGTTGTCTAAGTTAGGGTCTTTTGGGGGTGGGATCCTTTTTATAAGGGTGCCACACTATTCCGGAAAAAAGGGGCCCTAATCCTAAACCCTAAACCCTAAACATAATTTAGAGAACTAACCCATTTAGGGGTTGGGTCCCTAGGGGTGTAGTGTCCGGACGACGCAAACTGCCAGCCCTACGGCAGTGTATTCACCACTGGAGCATCCTGGGTTCTGCATGGTTTCAAGCACCTCTTGTACCGTCCAGCTCGTGGGTACGATGTGGTACATCACGCAACGATCATTCTCCAGCTGAGCGACCTCAATCATGCTCTCACCCCGCCACCCAATGCGGCATTCTCGCAGCAGCATCCTCGGCATCAGCTGCACTGCCAGGGGCAGCCATCGCCGGCCCTCCCTTCTTCACAGCCTTCGGGCCCTCCGGAGCATGTAGGGGTTTAGGGTTTGGGGTTTGGGATGCTTTCTTGGATCGCGCGTTTTGAGAGAAGCTTCTACAATCAAAGGCAAGCGTTTTCGGCTTTCCTCAGAGAGAGCAAACCAAATTCGAACCGGTATGCGCAATGCCTAGACCAGAAGTTAGTGAACCCTAAACCCAAAGCCCTGAAACCTAGACTAGATATTCAGGCCGCAGTGTTGCCTCAACATAACTCAGTGGATTGTTGTTCTCGCAAGACGCTACTATGGCTGAAGACTTGTAGTAGATGTGGGGGTCCCAACATCCTAAAACCGCGACACACAGACATGAAACCCTACTATGGTTTCATTGATTATCATTGTATGGGGACCATAATAAGGGGGCATTATTACGAAATACTCTAAGACTTTACAATATGCTGGGCCATAAAGTTGCAGATCAAAGTGTGCGGTGCACTGGCCAGGCGGCTCTATGCCGAAGTCTTCGAACATTTGTTCATCCAAGCACCTGGGCTGCGCAGAATACAAGACTTGAGGTTTAGACCGGTTCGGAGTTGATGCAGGGGCCTTCAGAATTAAAAATATGGTTTTGGGCCGGGTATACTACACTATAACTCTAACTAGAATAAGGAACCCCCAAAAGAGTATTGGCAATTATTTAGGCCCCTATATGACATGTGCAAACAGTTCGGTAATTACATACCTCGCACAACTCACAAATGTCTACTAACAAATAGCATACATTTAACGGCTTCGTGTTCCGAGCGCGCACACACACACACACACACATACACATGTCTCTCCTACATATGGTGTTACTATATGCAGACCCCATCCAGTTCCCATACAGTCAGTCTTTGTCTTACGGATCTCGGTCTTGCCGTCACGCGAGGCGTCCATCCACTTTCGTCTCAGCTCCTCCGGCGCTTTGCTCTAGCCGCCTCTGAGCTTGACCAAGCGGGATCTAGGTTCCTGAGTGACCCCTGAATAATAAGGGTACCCTTTTTCCTAGTATTCGGTTTTAATAAGGAGACCCCAAAATAAAAAGGGCAAAAGGGTACTACTCAGGAACCTAGGGATTTGGCTGCCATCTTCGAGACTCGGTGAGGGTTCGGCACAAGCGGCTTGCTTGGCAATTGCCTTCTCGGCAAGCTCTGCAGGAGCCAACGCAACCAGCTTAATCGCAGATGCCTTCTCGAGAAGGCATCGGTTTGGGGCTTCGACATGCGAACCTTCAATTCTCTACCCCAACCGATGAGCTCGCCCTAAACCCAAGGGTTAGGATGTAGGGTTTAGTTCTTACGTCTTCCGGTTCATTTAAGGCTTCCGTCTCGAGTGTCCTTTTGAAAGGTTCGTTTCAGGGTTCCTCTAATGTTCTTTTCAGGATTCCTTTAGGCCCCCCATGCTCCTCTTTTACGGTTTAGGGTTTAGGGTTCTCTCTGCAATGAAGGTGCTTCAGGTCAGACTCAGCCGTGCTGGCCGTGGTGTAGGTAGTAGTGATCCTGGGCACCACATCAGAAGGCTCGAGGGCTTTGGCTCTGGGTTTATAAGACCAAACAAAACTTAAGAGGTCTCGATAGTTTTTGTCAACATGTAGAGCTTGTTCAAAGGTAGAGTTTGTTGGTAAAGCGGCCCTAATGACAGGGTTTATGCTTTAGAATTGCTGGAATCCGCCGTTATACGTGGCCATACCACACCCCAAACGAAAGGCACTCCTGTCCAATATAGGGGCCATAATAATTACGATAGGGCTTTGGAGCCCACTATCCTATAATTCTAATAAGGAGCCCCCCCAAAATTGAGGTACTTATTCAGGCCCCTACATTACCTGCCCTAAACCCTAAACCCTAAACCCTAAACCCTAAAGTCTAAGCCGAGCCCACCCAGCCCACTATCTGTGGCGGGCGAGGCTTGCCGAGCGGCAGCGAGCGCTTGTCTCACTTTCGTCCCGAACTTTGTGAGGGTCGGCTCGTAGTAAGTGCCTCTACGCATAGTGTCCATTACATACTCTGTACAGGTAAACACCCTTGATCCTCCACCGAAATGCTTCTGGTGGGTCCCACCCCCCCTGTCCGGAACTGGTTCTGGTGGGTCCCCCCCCCGCCAAAATGGTTCCGGTGGGTCCCACCCCCCCCTGTCCGGAACTGGTTCTGGTGGGTGGCCTCTCCCCCCCCCCCAAAGTGAGCTTTTTGCGGACTGAGCTGGAGAAGTAAGTGGGTGACCCGGCCCTGTCCGAAAAGGTGTACTTCGGGCAGATCCGGCAGATTACAGAGGTCACAGAGGCCTGTTGGGCCCGATGCGGCGGGCCCGCCGCCTGGGCCCATGTCGCAAGCCTCTTCCACACCGACACAGTCTCCGAAGCCATAGTGCGGAGCCCACTGTTGGAAGTTGCGGCGGTTGCGTCCGCCAGATTCCGCGGAGGTAGGAGACGTGTGCTGGGACGTTTCCTCCGACGAAGGAGGCGTGCACTCCGTGTCCTGGTCAGACTCCGAGTCGATCTGGATAACCTCATCCACTGGTGTCACGGACATGATATCCGCAAAAAGAGCCGACGAGAATGCTATTGCACGAAGCTGTAAGCCAGGGAGACTCGCAACACACAGACCCGTCCGGGGACACAAACATCAAAATCCGTCATGTTCGTGCATGTCTTAGCTAGCTCTAAGCTACACGACTCCATCAAGTATGTGCATTCTAACGCTCTGCTGCTTTTGTGCTCGAGCTGGCCGTCAACGGCTGTTCAATCGTGTAATTCATCTGAAAATGGCCGAGCGATAGACCGGCGATATGCCGTTCTCGACTCGACTCACGTTCCGAAATCTGTCCTGGTGCGATCCGTTTTAAGATGGCCGAGCCACGAGACTGGCTGATGCGACACACACATGGCTTGTCCGACTGTCCTCTCAGGAACTTTTCTGCGCGTTGCACATGCTCTCCTTGACTTCCGTGCTGCCAATAAATGAGAAAGCCTGTACGGGAGGCAAACCTTTCAACAGCATCTCAGCGGGCGGGTCGCCATGCTTCGGCAGCAACGAGGTGAAGTGGCATGGCACGTACTTCAGGATTATAATTCTGCTCGTTGCCAATCCCGCTCTCGTGCCAGCCCATACGCGGGTGATGTTGTCCTCGGGGATGACGAGGCACGCGATCATGGACTCGTCGTCCTCTACCACCTTGGTTTCCATTGATACTTGGTGACTTACAACCGACAGAAACTCTTGACGCCTTCGCTTGATGGATGTTGCACGTTGAACCTCCTGATGCCTCTAGCTCACATGGGCTCCGTTTCACAGACTCTTCGCTCCACGAGGTTGCCCTCTTACAACGACACAAGGCCATGCGACAGGATTCTAAGTAACTTAACATCTCAGCCTTGGAGGCCAAGGCGACCAAGTTCTGTTCGTGAACACGATGTCGCTGCAAGCTCTCTAAGCTTCACTGTTCATGACCTACCTTGTTCTTGTCTGCGTCGCCTTGACGAAGTAAAGTCAGTCTCGACGTCTCACTTTGCATGCGTATTCGTTCTCGTTGCTGTTTGACTATGTTTCAAGCCGCCTTTGTTAACCGGATGTCATATACAGTTCATGCAAACTCTCGGCACAGAGTCAGTCAGCCATGTAGTCGCTTCATTTGGCGTGCATGAGCACAGTCAAACGTCATGAGCGTAGCCTCAAATGTCAAAGCCTGTACGTCAGAAAACCGAGGATGAAGTAAGAAGCCATATCTGTATAATCTTGAACTCCGGGTGGTAGGGGTGGGCAAACCAGTCCTGGGCCCGTTACTCACTCTGGGAACACCGTAAACCCTAAACCCTAAACCCTAAACCCTAAACCCTAAACCCTAAACCCTAAACCCTAAACCCTAAACCCTAAACCCTAAACCCCCCCCCTTTTAGGCGTACTTGCCTTCGGGGTCTCCCAGGAACTTGAAGGCTCAGGGGCTCGGAGGGCTGTAACTTCAGTCTGCCCAGGCTCACGTCATTGGTGGAACGGTTTAGGGTTTAGGGTTTAGGGTTTAGGGTTTAGGGTTTAGGGTTTAGGGTTTAGTGTTTAGGGTTTAGGGTTGGTTTTGAAGCAAACACGTCCCTATATACAAGTATAGTTGAGGGCTTTAGGGTTTTAGGCAGTTTTAGGGTTTAGGATTTAGGGCTTAGGATTTAGGGCTTAGGGTTTATTTAGGGTTTACCAAAACCCTGTATATCAACCCTATGAAGCCCATAAGCTAAACCTCATAAGCCCGAACACCCCATGTAAGCCAGCAACTCCAACCCTACGCCTTCGCAAATGCTTCGAGGCATCCTCGACTTCAAAGCGCGGGTTCAGGGCTTAGGGTTTGGGTTGAGGATTCATGGGTTTCGGGTTTGGGGCTCAGCGTTTGCGGCTAGAGTGTTCACCACTTTAGGGGGTTGAACCGCTTACGTCTGCAGGGCTTAAGAGCTTCTTTGAGGTGTACGACAGCAAGGGTTTAGCTCCAGGGGGTTTAGGTTTTTTTTAGGGTTTAGGGTTCAGGGTGGGTTTGGGGGCTGAAGACAGGTTTGCGATCTCAGGGGATGAACTATCTCAGGGCTCATTGCTGAATCAGGGTTTGTCGTCTAGGGCTTTGATTTTACAGTCAGGTGTTCGAAACTCGGGGTAAGGGTTCGGGCTGCGGGTTCAGGGTTTCGGGAAGCTTCATGCCTTGTGGGCTAGGGGTCAAAGGGCTTTCGGCTTAGGTAGAGTTTCAAGGTGCAAACTGTAGGGGCTCAGGCGGCTGAGAGCTTAAGCCGAAACCCTAAAGCCTAAACCCTAAACCCTAAACCCTAAACCCCTAAACCCTAAACCTGCTGCGATGGGGTCCTCCTTAAGGGTTCATCGGCCCGGGATTCAAACGCCCGACATCTCAGGCGCACCCCCTTATGTTCAAACCTCCTATAGCAAGCACTCTTACCAACCCTTGTACTCTCAGGTCTCATGTCGGGTTTCGGGTTTAGGGTTTTGGGTTTTGGGTTTAGGGTTTAGGGTTGCAAGACCCTTTAAGACACCCTAGCATAAGATAAAAACCTGTATTAGAGCCCATGGAACCTTACATGTATCCTGTATCTGCACCCCTGTTGACGCGCGAGTTTCCCGAAATGTAGGCTTGAGCCCTCCCTCCCTCAAACCCGGCCTGCACCCTAAGACACCTATCCGTTTCAGGCTCCGAATATGACCTCCTTATAAAAGTACGTCTTTTAGGGTCCAAGAAAACCTTCAAGCCCATGTGTCCTAGGTGCAGATTCACCCAGAATCCAAGAGCGAAACCTTTCTTCAGGATGGAAGGCAAAGTCGCAATTATTCGCTCTGAACCTTAAACCCTAAACCCTACAAAATAACGTTACAACCTAAACGTCAGGCGAAGCTTCTGCGACACCGTGTCGTAGCTTTCCTCCAGAAATCCAGCAAGGAATCGTTCTTCGTCCCGGAATGAAACGGGAAACGTGAGGCTCAACGCCAAACCCTAAACCCTTAAACCCCACCACCCTCAGAACGCGAGACTTCCCACACTTCAAATCCCAGGCCCGCAAACACCCCTTCGTTTTGGAAGCTCAAACTGACGAGGGGGGAGAAGCTGAAGCAGGGTGCATGACGGGTCCAGTGCAGCGTAACTATCAGGGTTTAGAGTTCAGAGCTTAGGGTTTAGGGGTTTAGGGGTTTAGGGGTTTAGGGTTTCGGCGGATGAACCCCAGATACTCCCAGACAAAAAGTCCTGAAACGCCGACTCATGCAAGATTTTCTTTGCTTCAACCCGCTAAACCTGCCGTAAAATCCAAACCTCAGGCCTCACACCCTAGATCCTCCTTAAGGCCCGAAGTAGGGGCCTCAGCAATTAGAACAGCATTCTGGGAAATATACAACAAGTATACTCAAAAAAGGAGCAGGGTTTAGGGTTTAGGGTTTAGGGTCAAAGGGGAAACCATTACAAGCTCAGTTCTTCCGACCCCTACAGTAGACGCATTATAATTACAAGCTCTCTTGAGTCCGCAGAATCCTAAACCCATAGACTTGACCCTAAACCCTATATAAACCCTAGGGTTTAGGGTTTAGGGTTTAAGGTTTAGGGTTTAGGGTTTAGGGTTAAACCCTAAACGCTAAAAATCATACCGGGTGATTTCTGTAGACGCCCGAGCAGACTGAGGTAACCCAGAGCCCTTCGGCTTCAGGCCCAAAGCTCAGTACGTAGAGCAGGAGCCTTAATGGTTTAGGGTTTAGGCTTTAGGGGTTTGGGGGTTTAGGGGTTTAGGGTGTAGGGTTTAGGGTTTAGGGTATAGTATACTATAACTAGAATAAG